CTACCGCTGTCCTTGGTTTCGCCGGAAGCGCGCATTTGGGGTGGAAGCGCGCGTTTACGATTCTGCGCTAGTCGTGACAAGTCTTGAGTACGTGTTGCAGAGCTGATTGGACACGCGCGTCATGATCCTTCTCGAACAAGCGTGTCGCACGCCACGACACTACACTCTGCTCATCAGGGTCGTAAATCGTGATTGAGCACTCGTGACTGCTCACTTATTTCAAGTTCACGCTTCTTGACTTACCGGAGAGTAGTAAGGTGCAAGCTGTGAGCCGTGTCTGAGCGAGTGAAGGCGAACGAGCAATGTCAGGCTTTCCAGCAGGCTGTATGCACCGCACCGTCCATCCAGACGGCTGCTCTGCCCAAACCTCAGCGGTCCACGTAGCTGCCGACAAGCATCGCTCTGGACTCGATATGCTGATCGTCCTGAGGGTGAATGGTGTCTCTACGTGACGGATGTTGCTGCTGCACTCGTGATTTGCAGCTGTGACTCTACACTCGTGACTCATGACTATACTCATCAAGCTGCTGGTGCGGTCGGCCAGCTGCTGCATGCGCGGATGATTCTGATGCTGATTCTTGATTCTTGATTCTTGATTCTTGATTCTTGATTCTTGATTCTTGATTCTTGATTCTTGATTCATCAATTCACAATTCAAGATTCACATTCAAGATTCAAATTGTTGATGCAGCTCCGCAACGCGTCACGTGACCACGGCCTACATCAACATCATCTGTGCGCTTTGATCCACACCGCGTGGCTCTCTAGCTGCTGCACAGGCACGCGTACAGCATCCAAAGCTCATCGGTCTGGACCAACACTCACGACTCGGCTTGAGCTTGATTTGTCATTTGGCTGGTCCTTCCACAAATTGACTTGTGACTCCTTGACACATTCCAGTATCCGACTCTGAAGGCAGAAAGGGATCACATTCGACACCAAAGGCACTTCGCACGCTTTGACCGACTTCGCTCCCGTCAACTCTTGTGGATCACAGATCAGGATTATTCGGAGCGAAGCTGTGACAGACTGCAATCTCGCTCTCGCTTCCCAGCTTGTTGAGACAGCTGCTTGGCACGATTCTCGCCGCCAGCGCACCATGGATCCCTGGGCATCGCCAAGTCCATGGGCGGAAGAAGCCTCAGTCGAAAGCAGCGCTGCAGATATCCCTTCAGTCCCTGGGCAGACCGAGCCAGCCTCAACTACCGCTGCACCATCCTCGTCTCCGATCAAACTCAAGCTTGACAATGTGGAACATGATCCATGGGCTACGAGCTCCAGCTCCACGATTGCAGCAGATGCGCGTGAAGCATCGACCTCTAAAGCAGAAGAGATGAGCACTTCGACCCACGAGAGCTCTCCCACATCATACAAGCCTGCAGCGAGTCCAGTTGTCAATAGCAACGCGTCGTCTGGTGAGACATGGGTGGATGAAGGCGCATCGGCGTGGGGTGGAGCGCCACCTGAGCCAAGATCCGTCTCCAGCGGCATCACTGCATCAGATGCTTCTCTGTCGCAAACTTCACGCCCAGCTTCTCCTGCTCGCTCGGGATCTGCATTGGGCGCGGACGGTGCTGGGGGAAGCGGTGCAACGGCTTGGGAAGCAGGTGCTTCCATCCCGGACACCGGCGGCTGGGGAGGGGAGAGCGCAGATCCTTGGGGAGCAAACAGCTCTCAGGTAAGCATCACGGAGCGCTTCGCTCAGCGCGTAGCGTCAAGGGCAAGGTCGAGCTGACCAATTTGTGTTGATCGTGTCAAGGCGCAAGCAACATCATGGCACGCCAAGGCGAACAGGTAAGCGTCGCTTCGGTTGCTCGCTCGATGCAGGGCTGTGTTTCTAGCAATTGCTCATGCTGGGCATGAAATGCCTCTCCCCTCCGCAGTGAGGCTAGCCCAATTCCTTCTCCTGCGCCTTCTCCCAAAAACGAACAGAGCCAGCCTGCTGACGCCGAACAGACCAGCAATGATGGGAATGATTCGGAAAGTGTGCGTCAAGAGCCTACCTCTTCCGCCGCTCAGCCCATCAGCTCGCGAATGGCTGCCGCCTTTTCCTCCTGGCGACGTCCCAACAATTCCAACACGTCATCGATCCAGGCAGCAGAACCCAGCGCAAATATCTCCTCATCGAGGCAGGCTTCATCCTCCACTGCCGCTGTGACTGCACCAAGTAACAGTGCTAAACCAGCTGAGCCAGCTAAAATTGCCCACCAGTCTCAGGGACCGGGTTGGGCGCACGTCTCGAAGAAGAGCGAGGCGGGACTCGCTGCTCGATTTTCCGGACTATTCAGCGGCACGACCGGCGCTCTCGGGGCGACGCCCAAAGTCGAAAGTGCGGCAGAGGAAGACGAAGAGGCGCAGCACGTCGACAAGCCTTACGAAGATAGGTCAGTTCCTCCTACTGCCACAGTCGACCTATTTGGAGACTCGAAGGATACGCAACCCGCACCTGCGACGACTGCTACAGCTGGTATTGCGAGATGGCTGAGGTGGGGCCGCAAAGAGGGCAAGCCGCCGCCCGAAGGCATGACAGCAGACGATCTCGAGTGGCTCGAGAGCTTACCTCCAGCACCGCAGTCTACCGTCACTGGCGCCAAGGCTGTAGACGGAGCGGATGATCTCGAGTCCTGGCTTGGAGACGCCATGGCTTCGCGGGCTGCGGCAAGCGCTGCACATCGGCCTTTGAATGCGCAGCCCTTGACCAGCGGTAGCACGTTTCGCATTGAAACGGCTGGTCGCGGTGGTAACGCGCCGCTCGAGTCAAGTCCACAGTCGCGAGCGAGTCCTCAGCTAGCACCGCCACCAAGACTCGCCGGGCCGCCAGCCGCAGCACCGCGCTGGCAGCAGTCCGGGGTGAGATATAGCATCGATGACAGCGGCGGAGAGGAGGATGATTATCAGCCACCCCGACGGAGCAACAGTCTGGTTGGAAGCACCGCTCGTGGCGCGCCTGGGATGGCTGCGACTCAATCGGCTGGCAAGCAACGCCAAGTCAAGAGCAGCGCAGGCAGTCATTCCACCTCTCGCACGGGCGACTCCAATGATCTACTTGGAGACTTCGACACTTCTTGGGAAGTAACGGCGCCAGCCGACAATTCTCGTCCAGAAGACAAGACCCCAAATACGCCTGGCAGCGCAGACTTGAGTGGGTCTCTACTAAGCGAACGGGATCGGTCGGCGACAAGGGCAACAATTGGAAGCGGGCGTGGACGAGGTCGATATGCTCAACGCAGCACCGGCTTGGCCGGCAGTCGCAAATCTGTTAATGACAGGAGATACCTTGATTCTGATGAGGAGGAGTACGAGCCGGGGACGAACGTCGACGCGCAGCAGCGCAAGGTCGGCAGATACTCGGACGATCCTAGCGCAAGGGATGATGATAGCTGGGACTGGGCAACGACGAGTTCGCCGCAGCCTCACCTCTGGAAAGACGCTCCAGCATCTCCACCTGCCCCGGCGTTGCCTCCTAAGCTAGCTCGACCCCTCGCATTCGCATCCGCTCCAGCGAGAAGCAGCTTGGAAGCGTCTGCAGCGTCCTCTCGATTGGCCACTGCTACTCCGCCTCTGCGGTCAGGTACTCCTCAATCCACAATCGCCAGGTCTTCCACCTCGACTCCGCCTATCTTGGCGCCACCTCCACCAGCAACGAGCGGCTACACGACAGCGAGTGGGAGAGTTGGCAGCCTGTTGCCCCCGCCACCTCCGCCCTCCTCGAGATCGGCGCAACAGCCAGCGACAAACCAGCTCGACCTTTCTGGCTTTGGAGCAGCTCCTCCTTCAGCCGCGCCGCGTACTCAGAATGATGCTGCGGGTCCTGCCAGTACGCAGCAAGGCCGGGACGCCAGTCAGGGTCCCAAAGCTCAAGGACTGAGCCAGGCGGACTTGAGCTTCTTTGACAGTTTATAGACCTTCCTTTGAGCTGCCGCATCACGCTTGCAAAGTTGAAGTGTACAATATGCATTTCATGTTTAGTCTTTGATCGGCACTGTCTTTAGCTGCGAGGCCAGAGCGGTCAATGAGAGGCGAAGGTGAGCTATCGAAGCGCGGGCACAGCAAGGCAGGAGGCGGCATTTTCACGCACCTGCAGCCCATGTATGCCACTGATCACTTCCTTGAGCGTCTCGTTCACCAGTCGATGAGCCTGAACCGTGGGCTTGCCCGCGAATTCTCTCGATGCGATGGTGATTGCGTAGAAGCTGCCGCAGCCACCTGGGCCAGCGAAAGGTCATACAATTTAGCCCCTCTGAAGCTGTTCTGCGTTGAGCTTGGCATGATCACACGTCTCCTGCTCGAAGAAACTCACCGCTCACATCCTGCACCCTGATGGCTTCTGGTTTGAAGCGATTCGTAAGCAGATCATGAATGTGCTTCTCCCCATCGTCCATCTGCTTCTCCGGCTCTGCGGCAGCCTCGTCCGCCAATGTTCGTGAAGAGGTGCCGAAGCGCCTCGAGATCCGTTCAGGTGCTGGAGAGCTCTTGATGGCGCGAGTTGAAGAGAGTTGAAATGAGGTCCTGGGCGCTGCTACTTTGGCGCATACAGGCGCCGGCTGGATGAATGCCGATCGACCGCCGAAGCGAAGAATGGCAGAGCGCGAAGTTGCAGCCATGATGCAGGCAGGGTCGGTAAAGCTTGATGGACTTCGAAGCAACAATAAAAGAGACCTGATGTGTGGTCGAATACGTGAAGGAGCCGATAGACGTTGTGCCATGATTCGTGGTTCAAGATTCGCGACGAGTCAGATTGATATGCATGTTGTGCCTACACCATTTATCACCTGTCACGTGAATCATGAATAATCAAGAATCCTCCAACGACGGGATGTTGAGTCAAAAGTATGATTTGTGATACAAATTCTAATCAAGAATTTGAAATTGATGAGTAATTCACATGTGACGTCTG